GTACTAATCATCACATTTCAAAGAGACTTGCGACATAGATATTCTAGGACTATGCAGAGACCTGATTAATTTTGGGATAAATAATTGTGCCTATTAATTACCTAATTTGCATAATTAGTTAATTTTTTGCTGTTCTATGGATGTTGCACTGATGTCTAAAAACCACTCATTGGATTTCAATGAAACTTTTCAAGAGTACCTGCCACATTTCAATGAACCTAGGACTATACACCATATTAGTTTTTGGTAAATATTTATGCTTCTTAATCACCTAATTAACATAATTAATTAATACTGTATATCTCAAGTATTGATCATCACATTTGAATAAAACTTGGTACATAAATGGTCTAGGACAATAGACAGCTTGATTAATTTCGGGTTAAAATCTGTTCATATTAGTTCTCTAATTAGCATAATTAATATTTTTTTGGTTCTAACCACATTTCAATGAAACTTGGTACATTGTGCAGACCTTATTAGTTTTACACTTAAATCTGTTTGTTACCTTATTTGCATAATTAATTTTCTGCGTTTCCATCAACATCTCAAGTTCAAGTAATTTTGAATTAATTTTTAATGTGTCTCCAATACTCTCAGCACACGGGAGTTCTTTCTAAGCTTTCTTTGATTTTTGTTTTTGATGGGAGTCTTTGCAGTTAGTGTGTCTGTGCGTCTGTGTGTGTGTTTGTGTGTCCGTGTGTATGTGTGTCCTACTGTTCCACTGCTATCTCAAGAACCATACATCGGTTTTTGATGAAACTTGGTACATAGATGCTCTGGGCCAATGCGCAGATTTGATTAGGTTTTGGTAAAAATCCATGCTCATTAATTACCTAATTTGCATGATAATTAGCTAATTTTTAGCTGTTCTATGACTGTTCCACTGATATCTAAAGAACCACTAATTGGATTTTGATGAAACTAGGTACATAGATGCTCTGAACTAATGCTAGGTTTTGATTAGTTTTTGGTAATCCGTGGATACTAATTATCTAATTTGCATAATGATTAGTCAAGTACTAATCATCACATTTCAATGAAACTTGGTACATAGATGTCATAGGACACTGCACAGACCTGATAGTTTTTATGGTAATATCAGTACATATAATTACCTAATTTGCATAATTAATTAATTTTCAGCTTTTGATATAAGTAGTGAGCATTACATTTCAATGAAACTTGGTACTTACATACTCAAGGACTATGCAGAGATTGATTGTTTCGGATAAATATTTGTGCATATTAATCACCTAATTTGCATAATTATTTTTACACTAGTTACTAGTTACATTAGTTTTACACTAAAATCTGTTCATATTAATTTTCTGATTTGAATAATTAGTTTTCAGCTAAGTAATTCCGAATTATATTTAATGTGTTACAATACTCTCAGCACATGGGAGTTCTTTCTAAGCTTTCTTTGATTCTTACTTGAGCAGAATGGCAGAATAGTTATTCATTCAATGCTGGGGATAGAAATGTAAATAAGTTTGATTGTGGTCAGTATATTCAGGTTAATCATTGTCATTGAAAGACCACAATCTTTAGTTCGCAGCCCACCTTTGACTTGTTGGGCTGTGCTGTTTTTGATTGACAGAACTGTTTACAACTCATCAACACTTTCATTCAGCAACTACGCCATATTTCATATTCAAATGATTTTTTTCACTTTCAGTGAATTATTTAAAAGGTACAAAATTACACAAATTTGGCTATGAAAAGTGCTTTTATTTAACGACAAATGAATGAATATAAAATTAGTTGCAATTTTTAAAACTTCATTGGTCTGCTCCGATGACTGGACCGTGAACAGTAGATGTTACCTTCATTATTACTTTGTAGGTGGTGCAGAATAAAAAAGATAAAATAAACAGTCACGACAGAGAAGTCTGAAAATGAAGTGAGCTGCAGGCATAGCTGATTTTTACAGCAGGTGCAAAAAAGTTGCATACACCCAAAACCCTACACGTGTTTGCCGAAGGGCCTCGCAACATCTTCCCAAGAACTTGATTAATCGATTATCAAAACACTTGACGCGGTATGCTTAGGGTCTAAGATGGGGTGTGCCAGACAACTATTTGGTCTAAGATGGGGTGTGCCAGACAACTATTTGGTCTAAGATGGGGTGTGCCAGACAACTATTTGGTCTAAGATGGGGTGTGCCAGACAACTATTTGGTCTAAGATGGGGTGTGCCAGACAATTATTTGGTTTAAGATGGGGTGTGCCAGACAGCTATTTGGTCTAAGATGAGGTGTGCCAGACAACTATTTGGTCTAAGATGGGGTGTGCCAGACAACTATTTGGTCTAAGATGGGGTGTGCCAGACAACTATTTGGTCTAAGATGGGGTGTGCCAGACAACTATTTGGTCTAAGATGGGGTATACATTTTTGGTCCGATTTTGGTCTGTTTCACATATTCATAATTCAAAATCTCAATTAGAAAGAACTTATCACGTAATTGGTGCTTTTTTGTGTTTTTGAATGCAGCGATAATCTGGCTCACACTCATTTCTGTATACGCATTTACATGCACACGTAAGCAAAAAAAAATGAGATTACCATTGTGAAAATACCTATAATATATTTTTGCAAATAAACTGGAACACAAAAAAAAGTATGGTCTGAGATATTTGCATGTTTGGTATACTGCGATTGCCCATTTAAAAAGGTGGTGAAAACTTTTGTTACGCATTATGCACAATCACACAAAAAGATAAATGTGTAAATGCTATCAATTCAGGAATCAAGAATTCTCAGATTGATCTTAGGAACAGGAAATGTGAAGATAACTTTGGTAAGATACCTTGGGGTCATGTTCAGACATGATTAGTTTTGGAGTCATAACCATGCATATTAAGTAGCTAATTTGCATGTTATTGTACTCTTCTATGTAACAATGTATGAGTTAGGATATCAATTTAAGATTTCAACAATACAGGATAGAGGTGTAACTACATTTTTTCTTTGCTGCAGTGGTGAGATTACTAGCCAAGTATAGCTACAAGGCTCATCCTGATAAACCTGGAGGCTTTCCGGAACTAACAATACGACAAGCACAAAACTTAGTTTTGATAAATAAACATTGCAACAATATGCACTGGTGGAATGTCAGGGATGAAAATGGAAATGAAGGATATGTACCTGCTTCTTACATGAAGGTATGTAATAGATAGATAGATAGAATTTTTTATTTGGAACGTACAAATGAAATCTTGAGTAAAGTCCAAAAATAACAATAACAAAACAAAACATTCAGAACAACAAAAACTTACAGTATTAAAACATATCAAGAATATAGAAAATAAATTTTGCCAAAATGCTAAGAATGAAAAAAAAAATATATATATGTAATATATATATATGTATCTGTTACTTACATCTAGGTATGTAATATGTACCTGTTACTTGCATCTAGGTATGTAATATGTACCTGTTACTTGCATCTAGGTATGTAATATGTACCTGTTACTTACATCTAGGTATATAATATATACCTGTTACTTACATCTAGGCATGTAATATGTACCTGTTACTGACATCTAGGTATGTAATATGTACCTGCTACTTACATCTAGGTATGTAATATGTACCTGTTACTTGCATATAGGTATGTAATATGTACCCTGCTACTTACATCTAGGTATGTAATTTGTACCTGTTACTTACATCTAGGCATGTAATATGTATCTGTTACTTACATCTAGGTATGTAATATGTACCTGCTACTTACATCTAGGTATGTAATATGTACCTGCTACTTACATCTAGGTATGTAATATGTACCTGCTACTTACATCTAGGTATGTAATTTGTACCTGTTACTTACATCTAGGTATGTAATTTGTATCTGTTACTTACATCTAGGTATGTAATTTGTACCTGTTACTTACATCTTGGTATGTAATTTGTACATGTTACTTACATCTTGGTATGTAATATGTACCTGTTACTTACATGTATGTAATATGTACCTGTTACTTGCAACTAGGTATGTAATATGTACCTGTTACTTACATCTAGGTATGTAATATGTACCTGTTACTTACATCTAGGTATGTAATATGTACCTGTTACTTGCAACTAGGTATGTAATATGTACCTGTTACTTACATGTATGTATGTAATATGTACCTGTTACTTACATGTATGTATGTAATATGTACCTGTTACTTACATCTAGGTATGTAATATGTACCTGTTACTTACATGTATGTATGTATGTATGTAATATGTACCTGTTACTTACATGTATGTATGTATGTATGTAATATGTACCTGTTACTTACATGTATGTATATAATATGTACCTGTTACTTACATGTATGTATGTAATATGTACCTGTTACTTGCAACTAGGTATGTAATATGTACCTGTTACTTACATCTAGGTATGTAATATGTATCTGTTACTTACATCCAGGTATGTAATATGTACCTGTCACTTACATCTATGTATGTAGTATGTACCTACTACTTGCATCTATGTATGTAATATGTACCTACTACTTGCATCTATGTATGTAATATGTACCTACTACTTGCATCTAGGTATGTAATGTGTACCTGTTACTTACATCTATGTATGTATGTAATATGTACCTGTTACTTGCATCTAAGTATGTCATATGTACCTGTTACTTACATCTAGGTATGTAATATGTACCTGTTACTTACATCTAGGTATGTAATTTTTACCTGCTACTTGCATCTAGGTATGTATGTAAATTAGCATACACACGCTGTCTCTGGAGCTCCTGATTTTTGAGCGAATTTCACCTGTCAAAGACTTTTGTGAGTACTGTTTGTGGTTTAATTTGTTTTATTAATGTTTCCCGCCTTCATTTATTGAGCTATTTTGGTTTTTTGGCAAAAATCTGCCGTGCTTTTCTTAGTTTTCATTTTCCGCTTTCAGTTTGACTGACGTGGCGGTGCAGCCAAGATGGCGGCCCCCACAAGTCAACAACGTGGCAATCCATTTGCGGGTTTGACCCGCAAACATGGCATTAAATGCGAATCCATCGATGGTGTTGGCATCGAAAGTTACGTTCGTGCTATTTCTGAGGTAATCGATTCAAAAAATATTGTGGCTGCT